ACACTTTTCTCTCGGGTTTTGTTGGGGAAGTATTGTCACAAAACTCCTTTCTTGCAGAGCAATCCACCTACCAACGCATCACATGGTTGGCGCGGTATTATGGCATGCAAGTTTTAAGTAAGGGTTTAGGTTGGTTAATTGGGAATGGAGAATCAGTGAGTGTTTGGGATGATCCATGGTTATCGATCTCGGAACCCTTAACACCAATGGGACCTCGACCTCAACACATAGCACATATGCGAGTCTCGGAACTGATCGATGAGACTTCCATGACTTCGAAGTGGGATCTCATAAGGCAATACTTTCCGGCGTATGAACCTCAGATACGGCTCCTTATGCTGGGATTAACTAAGCATAGTGATAGCTTGGCTTGGCTATTCACAAAAAAAACGGGAAGTACACAACCCGTAGTGGCTATGGGACTAAAGCTCGAGATGCAGCATTGTCTTGTGAATGCAACTTTAATTGGCAGAAGAATGTTTGGAAGCTTCGTACTCAACCAAAAATCAAAACTTTCCTTTGGAAAGCAGGGGTTAATGCTCTGTCCGTTGGCGAACAATTACAACGCCAAGGAATAGGGGATTCTCATTCTTGTCATTGTTGTGGTGATATAGAAATAGTTGAGCATATTTTACTCCATTGTCTTAAAGCACGAGAAGTGTGGGCTCTAGCACCATTGACTCAAATTAATTGGAGCCAAATCTCAACAATGTTAGATTTTCTCGAAGAGACGGCGAAGACTCCGGCACTACCACCTATTGGTATATATGATGCGTCGCTACAATCCTGGGTTTGCTGGAACTTATGGTCAGACCGAAACTAGTCCATTTTTGAAAACAAATCTTTCTCTGCACCCGAAATTATGAGGAAATCTATCCGTGAAGCCAAAGTTTGGCAATCGGCTCAAGAATCGCTGCCAGTGCGAAGGTTACCAAGTCCAAGACTCTACCCAGACCTGAAGCAGCTACCTGGGGCAATTTGTTACACCGATGCAACCTGGAAGCAAGAAGCTACGAAATGCGGCTGAGGATGGTGGTTTGAAGACCTAGATGGGAATAAAAGAGAGGAGTTTTCTACGATATTGCCAAAGGTTGGATCGGCTCTGGCTGCGAAAAATTGGGTTGTGATTAGGGCACTACAAAAAGCTCGGGAAAGAGGAATGGACTCCTTAAACGTATGCTCCGACTCACAGGTTTTAATTAACCTACTCATCTCTAAGGATTCGCATACGGAGATCCACAACCTTTTTTTCGAGATCAACTTTTAGCTACGCATTTTCGTTTGCTAAAGTGTCACGACCGTGTCCCGATAATTTTTAGTTTTCCGCGGAAATATTTTTGGATCGAATATAAAAAATGAAACAGAAGAAATTTTTATTTAAAAGGGATTTAAATGGATTGGGCTTATATAACGTTTCCTCTTCAACGCTAAACGAGCCCATCAAACCCAATTAACCCATTGAAAACCCTAATCATCCACTATATAAAGGGAGAGGATGTTAGACTTAAAGACCAAGAGTGCAGCTGCGGTGAAATCCTGACCGTTTTACTTTTCACCTTGTAAACCCTAGCTGCCCTTGGAACTGAACTTCACCGCCGGGTTGAGAGACGATTTCCTGACGAACTGTCACAAACTGTGCGATGTTATACATATCTGTGGAAAGGTCCAAGTCTCAGCTTTCCAGAAAATCTAATAAAGTCTCGATCCAAGTTTTGTGGTGAAAGTTATGGCCTGTTCTTTCCAACTGTTGCGATATGTCTTATTCTCGAACAACCGCAGATTTGACCAGTTTCGGTGAGGAATAGAAACCA